CCCCCACCCCCAAACCACAATATCGCTTCGTGACGCAACGTTGTCTTTCCTGCACTTGAATCATTTCCTGTCCAAACAGGAAGAAGCTCGCCGACGGCACTTATCATCCCTATAAACATGTATCCTTCTGTGTGTAACACGCCGCATTAGAAAGATGATTTCATGCTAACCTTGAGATGAGGACATTCTGTATGGAATCCATATGCAGTGGCAAGACACGTTTTTGACAAGACTCGTGTATTCAAAGTCATAAGAACCACCATAACTTTGAGTTCTATGGCACCTTTAAAGGGACTCATATACAAATAAAACATGGTTCTTTATCTTTAAAGCTGTGGTTTTTGTTTTAAAAAAGGAATACATTTTAGCCTCCATAAACCTTAGATCGGGAAAATCATCGTATATAAAAATGGAATGTTTTTATTTGTTGGCTTCTTCAGTCTGGATGAACAAGCATGTGGTGCTTTTGCACATCACGATCGTCTGCCTCTGTCTTTGTAGGACAAAGAAACTTATCGTGGACGTAATCCGAATTCAACCTGCAGAGACTTTGGCTGAAATTTTAGAGACCCCGGCCACGGCTCGTCAGGTGACATTTTTTTTGGTCATTTCGTTCTTGTGCCATTATTTTTCCCTATTTTTGTCTGACTGATGTTTTATTATTTTTGCTGTAATATTTGAACTATGTTCCACAGGAGTCAGAGCATACCAAGATAGCAGTGCGACGGGCGGTTCAGGACGCTCAGACCCCTGACGGGCTAAAGAGCAGCCCGGCAGTACTGGAGGACAGTCAGCTGCCCCTGGAGCAGAAGAAGCGGAAGATCCTGAGGAACCTTCGGAACCTGGAGCAGGCTAACCTTGTCGCTGCCACAAACAAATACCAGGACATCATCAATGACATTGCTAAGGTGTGTAAGCAGCTACTGAAGCCACTCAAGTGTTACTCGGCCTCTCAACTTGTCGACCCGATTCCGATTGCCAGGATATTCGCTACCAAAGACGCTACCGACAAAGGAGGAAGGCCGAGCTCGTGAAACTCCAGCAGACGCTTGTGGCGCTCAATTCGAAAACGACCTTCTACCGGGAGCAGATGAACTATTACGACACCTACATCAGGACATGCCTGGACAACCTCAACCGCAAGTGAGCCTGACGCCCTGCGCGAATGGAACGACGTGGTTGTGGTCACACCGCTCATGCGTCACTGTGTTGTGCGTGGCTAGGAATTCACGCAGATCCATCAAGGTGGACAGCAAAGCGGACGAAAAGGCCGGGAAAAGGGGGAAGCCGCAATCTTTGAAGTACACCGGAGCGAGGCTGCACGAGAAAGGAGTCATTCTGGAGATCGAAGGACTTCAGACCAACCAGTGAGTCGAGCAGTTCAATGATTGTCATCAATTGGGAAATGATCAAAAGTAATTCGAATGGTCTGAAAATTGGTTCGGACGAAATAAATGGATCTTTATTCAACTCTCCATGCCAGTGAGATATTGACCGCTAGATGGCAGATTAACCCGTGTGCCATCTTAAATTCATCACCTCCCTATTTTGAGAATCAGATAAAGCCCCTCTAAAAAGCTTTGAAATGAATACGCTGTTTGTTTTTATTGCTTGACACTTACGTTAAATCAGACTGAACTGTGACTTGCTTCTGCATTGTCTCCCCATCTCGTTCAGCTCCAAATTGAATCCAAGGGCATCATTTTGATTGTCCTTTTTCCTTTTAAAATGTGAAAGTGTTGAGAAAATGATTCCCATAAGGAACGCGTCATCGTTCCATCCGTAGTAGGATGAATTTACTGGAAACGATTGGTCCGTTTCCCCTCCAGTGTGCTGCGTTAACACTTTTTTTTTTTTAATCTGTTATCTTTTGTGCCAGGTTCAAAAATGTCATGTTTGAGATTTCACCAAGTGAGGAAGTTGGGGATTTTGAGGTGAAAGCTAAGTTTATGGGTGTTGAGATGGAAAAGGTTCAGCTGCATTTCCAGGTAAGCAAAATTCCACTGCCTTACATTCACACTACACACAATGACTTTCATGCAGTCAGCTTTATTCGTTAGTTTTTTTTTTTTTTGCACATCCATCCATTATCCGAACCACTTTTCCTTCATCCAATCATTGCCCTTTTTTTTTTTTTTTTGTGTGTACAGGACCTTTTGCAGCTTCAGTATGAAGGCGTGGCTGTTATGAAGATGTTCGACAAAGCTAAAGTCAACGTGAACCTCCTCATCTTTCTCCTAAATAAAAAATTCTATGGAAAGTGAATGAAAATACGGAATATGGGGAAATACTTTGTGCCTTGTGACAGCGTTCACTTAGTTCAACAAAATCAAGGTTGTCCGAAAATGTAAATGATACTTTTTTTCCCTTTGAATAATTTAATGAAGCTGTTCATTTCTTTTTCCTTTTTTGTGAGAGTTAAATTTAATGTATTTTAATTAGGAAGATATTCTTGTTTTCTTTGAAAGAGAAACACTATTGTTTTGTTGTTACTTGTGTGTTGACGAAGGAGTTGTATCAGAAGGCCGTCTTGTTGAAATGTTGTCGTACACCAGTGCCTTTTAAATTAAAGCATCTAAATAATCATATTTTAATTAATAAAACTTTTAAATGCTGCGACTAATGCATTTTTAATATGTATTGTTGGTGGATGTGATTTTGACCTCAGTGTATAGAAAACATTCTTTATTGGGGCGAGGGGTGGTGGGGGGGAAGCTCACAATTCTACAGTTTTATCATTCAAGATACGTTCTTACACCTTGCCTATAAAAAAACAAAAAAAAAAACAACCAAAGATGATGGGCTCACATTTAAATGACACTCCAAGGTACAGAATTTAAGAATTTTTGTAGTTTTGGGAATTTACTTTGCTGCACTGTAGAACTACAATGTCACGTATTGCTCGATGCTTATACTGTATATATTTTGTTAATTTTGTTTAAAAGCAATATAAAAACACCCAGTACAGTTTGCGTTTTAATGACAAGTGAAAAATTAATATAGAATCACATATGACATTGTGGTGGTGTGTTTATTGTGAGGGATTATCGGGGAGGAGTCAACGGGGGTGTGCCAGCAACACGACTGGACTATATTAAAACCCACTCATAACAATTGCAGCACTCCTGCTTAACCGTACCAGTGATATTACATTCAAAAATGCTTCGAGGCAATCCACCCGCAGGTCACCCATCAGTTTGGCTGTTGGTAGTGTTTTCACTTCAGAGCTCAGCACTCAGCATGCGCAATGGTAAGTTACATTTTTATTTTTAATTCCAGACAAAAAAAATGTACATGACTGGCTTCCTGCTATGGGTGGCTTATGATCTGTTTCATGCAAATGCATTTTCATGCTACATTCTGTATATTGTGCTTTCTGAAATCTAGCCACAATATTAGGTAGACCTGCCCAATGACATGAAATTGAAAAATTCTGTAATTCTGTCTCTAGTACAGATAATGTTGAGTGGCAAATATTTTGGTTCCCTTCTTTCATTTGGCTCCAAAGGGAACTAAAAAGATTTTAGTATTATCCATTGCAGCAAAACACAAAATAAAACAATGTATTCAAGCGAGACTACAAATTGGTTTTGTAATCGACTCTTCAATTGACTGTTCGGAATTAAATTGCCGAACGCATTACTTGTTTGCAACCAGAAGAAGCGCTGTTAATTCCGTCAAATGGTTTGTGGTCAAAGGACGTGACCTTTTACATGGGAATGCAGATGCACGCACACTTTTGCGCTATATGTAATTTTAATCACTGGGCGTCAATGTTCTACTCAATATAACACGAGTATCAAGATAGAAGTTGGGATGGTTCCGCTAAATCCTTTAATCCCATTAAAAGAACACAGGAAGTCAATGGTGAATTGTCGTTTTGCAGTCGGAGTTGTATTGTTGTCTTCTTAGATCCCATCTGTTTTTATTTCTTGTACGTTTTTTTTCACATGGCAGAGTAAAGGAGGGTCTGAAAATGGCTGGCATTCTAAGCACTATAGGGTCCTGTTTTGTTTTTGATTTTTTTAAAGAAAACTTGGATGCTTACGTGTTTAAAAAAAAATACACACCAGATTTGGCCCAAGGCGTAAAGAAACAAAGCACTTGCACAATGCCGCATGACCACTAGAGGGCAGCCAAGAGCACTGAACGTTATATTGAGCAGGAACAAAATACTGTAACCTGAACAAGTTACATGTTTATGTTGAGATTTTCCTAAAGCTTTTGCACACTAATAATTTTAAGACCTTTTAATTGAACTTTATATTTTTTATTTGAGCATTTTATTCTTTTACTCAATAGGCTCCAGTAATCCCTTTTTGTAAATTTTAACTTAATATATTTGTGGGATTGTATGTTTTGTTGCACGTTGTTGTTGTTTGGCCTTCAAAATTTTTTTCACTTTTTTAAATCAATAATGATAACTTAAATGAGGATTTACAGCATTTCCATACATTTTGGGTTCAAACAGAAGATGCGCTGTCCGGAGTTGTACACATCCAGATATCAATACCATGGAACATAAGATGGACCTCTGAACTTTTGTCTCATATTCATCTTTTGATCTGAAGCAAATATCTTGAATATACAACAAAAATAAAGGAATTGACCTTGCCATTTCAATACTTTTGGAAGGGACTAGTCATTGTCTAGTAGACTGGTTTCTTTTTTGTTGATTTTAGTCAGCCTTCATCCATATTCAGGATCCCATTTGAAATCTGAAAGGGTCAGCTTCCCCAAGATGTGTGACAACTATCATCTGCACTGAAAAAAAAAAAGCCCTCAATGCATGCTCTGTTTCCTCCTGTCATTGAAGCCTCTGGGTTTTACCCACGGACCTTCTCTGGCTACGCTAAGGACTACATAGACCTGTCTATGTTTGACGGCTTCGGCGATGACACTGGTTCCGGCTCGGGTTCCCAGCCCGAACCCGTGAGACGACATCGCGTCTCACATCATCATCCTCACAAGCACTACTTTGTCTCGGAGGAGGCCAAGCAGTTCCTGCGTAGTTGCCTGGCCACCGCCTTCGTCCCGACGGTCTACACTTTCGTCTTCATCATCAGCGTGCCCCTCAACCTTGTTGCCACGGTGATGTTTGTGCACCCCGTCCGTCCCAGAAAACCCGCCGTTATCTACATGCTGAACCTGGCATGTGCCGATCTGCTCTTTGGCCTGCTCCTCCCTTTTAAGATAGCCTACCATTACCACGGCAACAACTGGACCTACGGCCCGTTCATGTGCAGGGTCGTGACTGCAGCCTTCTACTGCAACATGTACTGCTCGGTCCTGCTCATGGCGTGCATCAGCATTGACCGCTTCCTCGCCGTGGTCTACCCCATGAACTCACTGACATGGCGCAGCCGTCAGACGGCGTGGGCCGTGTGCGCCAGCATGTGGCTGCTGGCCCTCGCGGGAGTGGCGCCTCTCTTGGCCTCGGGTCAGACGGCATACTTGCCCCACCTGGACATCACGACCTGCCACGACGTGCAAGATTCAGAGAGACTGCAATCCTACTATCGATACTTTTTCCCCATCTACTGCTCCGTTTTCTTCTTCATCCCGCTCATTTTCACGGTGGCTTGCTACGTGTGCATCATCCGGGCCTTGGCGGCCTCCAATGTGGAGAACCGGTCCAAAAAGACACGGGCGGTGGTGATGGCTGTGGTCGTGCTGGTCGTGTTTGTGGTCTGCTTCACCCCCGCTAACGTTATCTTAATGGTCCACTACGTCGGGGTCAATCATAAGTCCAACGACACCTCCTACCGGGCCTACCTTCTTGCGATGTGCGCAGGGAGCCTCAGCTGCTGCCTGGACCCAGTCCTCTACTACTTTGGCTCATCTCACTGCAGGAAACGGGTCGTGGCGTTGTTCAAATGCCGGCGTCCTCATCAGATTCCGAGCAGCTCGCACACGCAGAGCACCAGAACCAGCGGGCGGAGCGACAGCAGCAAGCCGTGCAAATTAGAGGTTGTTCAAGGTGGGTCGGGGGGCCAGTACTCTAAGTTGGACGTTTAAGTGCGCAACATTTAGGCCTTTGTCTGTCATTACAAACTGTAATTTGTCATACGATCTGTCTTATTGTACAGTTGGTGGTTGTTGAAAAGTGGATTTGTTCTTATGTATCAGCTTTACATGTACAGTATATCAAACCTTCATTTTGTATCGTAAACATAGCTCTGCATGATCAAGCTTTGATACGAGATAAGAGATACACTTGTGTAATCTCATGTGATTTGACAAAAGTGACAGTATAATGAAATGTGCACACACACACACACACACATACACATGACCTAGAAGGCTTTAATGGACAAGAACTATGAATAGAGCATACATTCTATCAGAGCAACTACTGTATAAGTTTTCAATGTTTCCTCTCATCTTGAAGTGCCTCACTCTTCGGCCTGCTTGTCATCAGGGCACAGCTCTGGAGTAGGAAGACAGATAAAGACCAAAGGAATGAAAGTAAACATGAATCATCTCCATCTTATCCAAAAAAAAACCACACAAAAAAAAAAAAAAAACGCACTCACGTGTGATTCCGTCATATTTATGGAAGTTCTCCGGGAAGTTCAGACAGCTAATTTGTTTCTTGAACATTTCGACATCTTGGGGATCAATTGCTCCACTCCGTGCTGGGAGGGTTATTATTATGAATTTTAAAAAGGCGCGTTGACCTGCTACGTGAGAGAGAAAGACAAATTGGGAGAGTTGCATGCTTACTGAACTGCAGGATGAACCGTCCAGTGACATCATGGTTTCGGAAGCTGCCTGTCCACAGGAGGCAGTCGGAGCATGTCCTCAGGATGTAACCTTTGTGGTCGGCCAGGTTTTCTTTGGAAAATGTGCACATTCTGGTCATGATGCAAGATTATTTACTGTACATACAGTACGATACGTATGTTTCTGTCACAACAAATAGAGTGTTAAGATATTTTGGGCTCATAAAGGATGCGCGCGAGCATTGTGACCTAATGAAAGAGGTGGATTAAAAAAAAATGGAAAAATTGACCTTTTACAAATACTGTAGAATACAATAGAACAAATTGCAATACAATAGAACAGTGGTTCTCAAACCACCTCAGTACTTATTTACACAGTGCCAAATCGAATGTATCGCAGATAAAAGTTACGTTAAAATTTGACCCAATGAAGTGTTTAGAAACAGAGAGTTTGAAAAGATTAAATAAAAATGGTTCGAACTAAAAAGTTAAATACAACTGAACTGTACGTGATTCTTTTGCATACCACTAGAGACAGCCTACCAACTACTGGTAGACCTGTCGCAATTTGAGAACTACCGTAATAAAATATACTTTAGAAGCTCCCAAGTCAAAGGCAGACTGTCCGATAACAGTCGTTAATTTCCAATTTGTTTTTTGTTATTTTTTTTAACTTTTGCAAAACAAATTACAAAAAACGATTCTATTTACCCAATGCTTGAACTGGCATTGCTATAGGTAATATTTGAACATTGCTAAACGATATACATGTTATACAGGACGTTTACCAATTGAACTAAAATCAAGTAAAGTAGAACGAAGGTGGCCCGGTGGTCTAGCGGTTAGCGTGCCGACCTCACAGTGTGCAGAGGTACCGGGTTCAATTCCAGCTCCGGCCTCCCTGTGTGGTGTTTGCATGTGTCCCCGTGGGTTTTCTCCGGGTACTCAAGTTTCCTCCCACATTCCAAAAACATGCATGCCAGGCTGATTGAACACTCTAAATTGTCCCTAGGTGTGAGTGGCTGTTCGTCTCTGTGTGCCCTGCGATTGGCTGGCCACCGGTTCAGGGTGTCCCCCACCTACTGCCCGAAGACGGCTGGGATAGGCTCCAGTTTGCCCGTAATTACCCCTTGTGAGGATAAGCGGATCGGAAAATGGATGGATGGATGGAGTATAACAAACCTACTCACTCTTTCAAAGCTGTCATTTAGTGCTATGTTATCGTTCTGTATTGTGTAGATCTGAATATAAATGTAAAAAAAAAAAGTGTCGATTCAATGATGTTGAATGTTTAATCGGTTAAATATTTATTTTAATGTCTGTATTTAATCTGGTTGTATATTCAGTTGTATGTAACTGCACCGCTTTTTTGAATATTTCGGTCACCTCATTTTCATGGTCACGCCATTTTCGTTTGAATTAACCACACTTTCACCCATCTTTCAACACACTTACTGCGAAATGTGGCGACGCGTTCAACAACGGTTACGTTGACTTCCTCGAAAATGCATCGATTGCTGCGGGACAACAACCTCATTATCACTTGCAGTTTTTTAAAACCAGGTCTCGCAACTGCATCAAGCAACTTACAAGCTGTAATCGCCAAATCGCAATGCCACAATGTTACTTTCCGATGTCGGGGACAAGTCGATCCAGGAGCTTTTCAAAGACGCTAACGCCTCGTGGTATGGCCGCGGGTCACCAGCTCCCATCACATACACCCATTTACCAAATACCTGTAGTAAAAGATATACTATAGCACAAAGTATCAAACACAAGGCCCGGGGGCCAGATCCGTCCCACAGCATCATTTTCAGGGTCCCGCAAAAGCAAATTAAAAGGCCAACTTCCATGATGCTTGCTAAAATCTGTACCAAAATTTCTAATTTTCATATGTAATAAATGAGTGACATACTGAAAGCATTTTCTTGTTACCAAACCCCTCATTACAGTTACTTAAACAATAATTGAATAAAATGTTATTCTTGACTTCTTTATCTCGTTTCAGTCATAACGGCCCTCCAAGGGAAGCGGTAATTATAATGTCACCCACGACAAAAATGAGTTTGACACCCCTGTACTATCGCATTGGGTTCAAAATCAGGTTTCAAAAGTTGGAATGATAATAATCCTTACACTATACAAAAAAAAAATAAAAATTGTTGAACTCAAAATATCAAGGCAAAAGCTTCAATCACATTTTAAGTTGGGGGATTCAATGAAATTATTTGAAGTTTTGCTGTTGTGAAAATTGGATTAAGTGTTTACAGAACAGTTGTTCCTTTTATTTTTTGTAAAAACAACTTTGCTTGCTTTGTTGCGCAAACATGATTTCCATAAATGTCAGTGATTTATATTTTAACCCTTACAGGGACAGAGGTCACTACAGCGGACAGCGTATCATGTTATCAGGTTACAGCTTATCATTAAAGTTTTTTTTTTTTACAACTGAAATGACAGTTTAAGACCAAATAAATATATTTTTTACAGTGTAGTATGAATTGACGCTATTCTTACAACAATACAGTACTTGAATACAAAGGCTTAATTTACCAGCTGCGGGTCCCCCGGCAATAAAGGTTGGACCAGGTCTTTGCAGTCCGGTGCGGAAGCCCCACAAAGTGTAGCGAGAGCGAACAAAAAATGAAAAACAGGCCAAGTCATGGTCTCACTGCCTTACTGGAACTGTGTCACTGACCAACACTGATCTCTCTCTGGGCTCTCAAAATTTAAAAAAAAAAATGGGGTGGAAACTTGTAGCGTAAGAGGGAAAGAAAGGATGTGTTCTACACACACAAAGGACTAAGGAGCACTGTGTATAATCACGCGGAGACGTGCTTTCACCAAACGCTGAATGACCATTTCAAAGGTCCTCTGTGGACCTTGAATGGGCTCTGGGCGAAGTGCCACGACTCCTCTTTCTGTTGTGTAATGGAGGTTGTTTTTCCCGCAAAGGATTTGTGTTGGGGCGACAATGTGGCCTTGATGGTGCAAAGTTACCAGGCAACGTTTTTTTGTCGAAGTTTCTTGTAAAGAACAGTGTGTCATCTTTTTTTTTTTTCATGCAGAGGCTTTTGAGAAAGAACCGCACAGAGAGGAATTGCATTTGTTTAATTCCACGACAATTAACCAGTGTTCGCTACCGTAATAAGGATGCAGAGATCCATTTATTAACCCCCCCCCAAAAAAAAAAGAATCGACACAAAGCGATCAAGTTTTACATGTCTACAAGGTTATTCCACTTCACAAAGTCACATGCGAACATTTAGTTTGTTTAGTACGACATATTTGTCTGACGGTTCATGTGCTACATTTTACTTTGCAGAACCAGTAGGCTCTTCTCCTTCACTGGTTGCACCGGTCTTCCTGTCATCCGGACAGAGATCTGAAACGAGACCGACCGAGCTATGACACATGAGAGTTACTCAGATGAGAGATGACATAAATGTAAAACAAACAAACGCACCTGAGTCCAAAAAGTAGAATTCTGGGGGGAAATTCAGACACACGGCCTGTTTCTTGAAGGTCTCCAATTCGGATGGCTCCAGTTTACCAGTTCGGGCTTTGAAAGGCATCAACAGAAATACGGCTTTAGGGGTTGATTCTTTTCTGCAGTAATAAGCGATGACGCATTTGAAGAAAGACGTACTAAAGAGGAAAAGGTATCGGCCCTTCGATTTGCCATCGGGGAGGAGGGTGGTGTCTTCGGACAGGAGGCAGTCGGAGCAGGTTGCATAATATTTGCCCTCATGATAGGAAGTATGGTTATTGATGTTGACTGTGCGGACATGGGGGAAAAAAATTGCATCCCACATCAGCTCCCACATGGAAATAAAACGCTGGGTATTTCTGAATATGTTTCACAAACATATATAAACATACATCTTGTAGAGTATTTGGACACATTTATGTAATAGTATATGTACAGTAAAGTATAAGAGCAGATATAAAAAATCTACACACCCCTGTTCTAATGCCAGGTTTTTGTTGCATTAAAAAAAAAAAATGAGACCAAGATCAATTATTTGAAAGCTTTTTCCACTAGTATTGCGACCTATACGTCATTGAATTTCTTTTTTTGGTTGTTTCCGAGTACGAATAAAAATAAACCACTGTGATTAGGTGGGTGCACAGGTGTGCACACCCTCTTTCTTCAGAATTAACACAAAACATTCAAATTCATGTTAAATGAGAGAGTCATTACACATTTGCTGCCACTTGAAGTGCCTCTGATAGACCATGATAAATTCCAGCTGTTCTAGGAGGCTTTTATTGACTTCTTTTTTCTTTTGTGTGAGCACTGACTGCTACTCTGAACTGCTCATATCGTATTTTCCCACATTTTTTTTTTTTTCAAGGATCCAGTGAATACAAACGTTTTGGCCTCAATTCCAAATGGTAAGGAACTATGTTTGAGTGGGATGAAGCGCCTCACATTGTGCTTTGGGACCATCTTGTGGCCTCTATAAGACAAACATTCTTTGTAGTGCGGGTGTCAATTGCTTCGATCCCTAGTGTTCATTGTAAAGGCAAAAAATAAAAATAAAAAAATAGCAGTGCGCATAATTGAATGACTTCAAATACTCCAAATGCTTCAGGATGCAAAACCAATAAGAGATGACGCATTCAAGTAGATATGAGATGATGCCTACAGGTGGTGTGACTGGTCATTCCGGAGACGGTGACATCAGCTGACCCCTGAAGGCATTTATTGTCATTCCTGTAAGATCAAAGGGGAAAGCGGAATCAGAGTTGATCTGTTTGGAAGCAAATGTTCCAGCGAGTGGAGTGTGCTTACAGACGGTCAGCCCAGTAGAGGGAGATGCTCCCACTCTGGGAGGATGGTGACAATTCGATCCACGAGCTGTTTGCTGCCACCAGGTCACTCTTCAGGCCTGGTTTGTCCCATGAGCTCACATGGAGAACCCATTTCCCGAAGATCTGAAACAGACCACAGACTGAGCCAAGTGATATTTCTCTATTGCATATTATAAAACAACATTTCCGGATGCGAAGAAAGTTAAAAAAAATCGGAACCACGTCATTATCAATGGGAAAAATTTGAGGTTGGTCTTTACAAAATCTCCATCATCCATCAGCAGCCAGGGCACCCATTTTTCAGTCCATCATTTTTTTCAAGCCAAACCAGACTGTCATCGTCAGTCGGTCAGTTCGTCATGTTATTTTTACCGTACTTCCTTCATCGTTTCTCGGTAAATTTCACAGTTCTGGTAGCCCGTCTGTTGTCAGTATACCCACTCCCTTCAAAAAAAACCCCAAACAAACAAACAAGCAAAAAAAACAAAAAAAAAACATGTCATAGTGCAACAGGTGATCCAATGTGATCAAAATTGTAAATGGAGTATGGAAAATATCAGCTTCTATAAATACAACTTTCCACACACATACACTCACATATACAGTATTTAACATTCACTTATTTGCTAAAATGTATTGAAATGGTGGTTGCCTGCAGCTGTTTCAACTCCTGGAATGCCAAAAAGTTAGAATTTAAACTAAATAGTAAAATGGCCAACTTTCATCAGAATCGTGTGACCAAGGGTAAAATCCAATCCAAGTATCTTGCATCATCCAGGTTTTCGCTTCTTCCTCTTTTTCTTTTTCTTCTTTTACTTCTTCTTAAATAGGAATAATTTCAGCAAGATTAAAGACAAAGTTTTACATGCAAATGAATACACCTGCATACAATATTACATTCAAAGATTTTTTTATGTCATACAGTGCAGTGATGTCATCTGGTCCCGCCTCCTTAGACATCACAATCCCCATAGAGATCCTACTGAAAGAAGAGGACCCACTCTGACACACATATATTATCAATGCAATCCTCTCAAAGAAAAACGGCAGTCCGTCAGCGATGGAGTGAGAGGTCCGTTTGTACTTGACCTGGTTGGTGACGTATACATTGGTGGAAGAAACCCCACTTCCGTCAATGTTTAGATCGTAGTTTCCCTCAATCGTCAACAAAACAGGTGTCCGTCAGTAACCGACTGACGGACCTTCCGTCAGTCTTGACGAAATTCCCACCTCTGGGAAAAATAAGAAATGTAAAATGGGACAGTGAAACTGCCAAAGCTAAATAAATGTCCCAAAAGCAATACGACGGCCAAAATGCAAATCCTCCCATCTAACAGAGGTGTTAAATCCAGGTACAGAAAGTAAACCCTGCCATAGTTTGTCTTTAGCCACAGGTGCTGCTACGTTACTGATCTGTCTAATAAAATTTGCAATACGGCCATAGTTTTCTCAATAAAATATTGCCCTTAACTTAAAATAATCATCATCATGTGTGTCCATGCCTTGTTTCCTTTCAAAATTTCTTGCTCCTGTTCCAATATATCTTTAAAGGGTGAGTAGGTTTACTTTATTTTTGTTTGATTTATTTTTACAATACAGTGACAAAATTATTTTTACTCTTACATAACAGTAAATCATGACAAAATGTTGCTGATAAATTACAGTTAATATTTTACAATGGGGATAATTTGAGCCAGCAGCAATTTAATTTAATTCACTTTACATTATTTCCACTGGGAAAATTATTTTTCAAGTCAACCAGCATCTCAGAACTCCTTGTGTTTGACTTTTAGGGTTCCACTCCAGAGATCATTAAAGCAAAAGCATCACTCATTAGCCACTAAAATAGTGCGTTATTACAGGAACATGTTATGGTCTAACCACAAACACAATGAAAACAAAAAGTTAGCTTTCTATCAGGCAGAAGTTGAAATAAGAAGATTTTCATTTTAATATGACATGATTACTTTTACTTATATAATCATGATATTGCAGTAAAATTAAGTCTTTAATGCACCCTGTAACCTGATAACATGATAAGATGTCCACGGTAGTAACTGTTGTCCCTGAAAGGGTTAACATTGATTTTGTTATTTTAAAGTAATTCATTCAATTTTAAAGGCGTACCTAATGTCGTGGCTGGTAATTATTATTAATAGTGTGTATTTGAAATGAAGACAAATAACCTAAGACCTTACCATACGTGAAAACCTTTTTAACAATAACAAACACAAATGCAATGAAAGACCACCGGGCACATTATTCCGCTTTTGAGCACGCTCAAATACTCACAGGGCTGTGAGTGTCCAGCTGCAGAGGTTTAACAAGCTCCTCGCAGTCAGGTTCAGACGCAGCACACAGGGAGGTGAAGGCAAGCAGAACGGCCAGCAACTGGGCAGACATGGCTCAAGATGCGAGGCCACCACGGAGTGCGAGGATCTTAAAGAGGCTGCCTGCAAGTTGCCTCTCAGGGATGTGTTGTATAACAGTGGACTGGAACACACACACACACAATCACCCCTCACATTTGATGGCCAGTGGCCAAGAGTCTCTTGTGTCCTATTCATCCTGTTGTGTAACAGCCGACTGACAGTGTATGAATAGGAAGGCTGCTTGCAACAAGCACACTAAGATGTGTTGTGAAACAGTGAGCATTTTGGGACCCCTGAGGGGCCCCAGGCTAGAAACCATGCAGCATAAAAAAAAAAAGAATCCACCAACAACAACAACAAAAAAGAAAACAAAAAAACAAGGTGACGGATAAGATATTTTATTTATAACTGGCATGTTTGAATCACAAATAATTTCCAACCCTGAAATTTTTTTTTTCAGACTCATTTTGTTTTTGTGTGTGCACTCATCATGTCCAAATGTCATCATGACATCTCATCAATCATGTTGGTTCAATTTGCTTAGGTTGGCTGTCTCTCTCCTTTCTGGCATCTGCGTCTGATTTCAGTTCCAAAGGGCTTTTTGAACCTATGGAAGACCAAAAATTTGTATGTTACATGTAACCATATTTTTACAGTGGTGGGCGGTAAAGGAAGTACATATACTCCAGTCGATTTTTTTTTTTAGGTATGTGTACTTTATAGGAGTACTTATATTTTGACGGCCTTTAATTTTCACTCCCTAAATTTGACAACAATAATTCTACTCCTGACTATGTCAGAATAGGCTTGTTACTTTTTTTCAAACTCCAACGATGTAAATAGAGGCAATTCTGTCTCTCTCTCTCTCTCTCTCTCTCTCTCTCACACAGACACACGCGCGCGCGCGCACACACACACACACACACACACACACACACACACACACACACACACACACACACACAAAGCCTCTATCGATCTATCTATCTATTAAGCGAGACAGGTGTGTGTATGTATGTATCGATAGGTAGAAATACATTAGTGTTTTGTTTTCCACTCTAAAGTTTGCACCGATGCTAACAGAGGTATATGGGCTTTTAGACGACAAAATTAGGCCATCCTGGGTCTCCATGATATTGACAGAGACACTATACTTAATTCCTAAAAGACAGTGTCCACTTTTTTGAAGCAAAGTTGTTTTAGGCCAAATTGCTTTTTGTGAGTTGCTTTTTAATGGGGCAATGAATTCAGTGCATGCCGTGATGTCGGCGGTCTCATGCTAACATGGTGACAAGATAATTACAGTCCAAAAGGCTAAGTCATTAAACGTAATAACATTCGCATACAAATTTACTGGTGCTCTGAAGTGCAATTTTTTTTCCAGTATATTCCACATTGGGACACATGCACCACTGTAGTCACGATTCAGGAGGAAAATTAAGACTAAACACACAAGGGAATAAAGAGAAGAGAGATGAGACATTGGCTGAGGGAAGAGAAGCTTTATAACAGCATATTCAAAACCATGAAATACTTCTCTGTATATTTACAAAAACTGAATACAAGAATAAAAAAAGAAGTGAACACATCACAAATGGAGTTCAACGTACTGCCACCAAACATGGTCCGATTTACAAATGTGCCATCTTGTACCCGCACCTTATGGCTTCAAACTTATTTAAAAAAAACACACACACACAAATAAACTCATCTCTGTTAAGTTTGTCACATTGCATCATCATCATCATCATCAGTCCAGCTTTTCCAATAGCAGTAAGAATTTTCATTAAATAATCTGAATCATAATATCAAATACACATACAAGACAGGGAGCTACATTTGTGGGCTGTACACTTTGCAGTTAGGAATGCAGAGGGAGGATGTTCACAGGCATGTGGATCTTTTGTACACCATAAATAAAACATAAAAAAAACAAAACATGTATTAGAAACAATCCCACGTTCTGTACCAACCCAGCCTTTTCGTCCACACTGATGTCACAGTTTGATCGGATGATGAGTTGAAGTTTTCATTGCGAAATCTTTTTGCGTTGTCTCATATCTGTGAATAATTCCAATGTGGGAACCCAAAGCAAATAGCCAACTGGAATGCACGCGTGCAGTTGCACCCATTGAGCAACTTGTACTGAATATTGTTGATTATTTGGCATCAAAGTTCAGAGAACACACGACAGGGGCCACATTAAACAAAAAAGAATTACTGATGAAAGAAAAGCCACAATCGAATTCTGTTTATCTTAAACACGGGCTTCTTTTTAGAGTTAGAAATGAAAACACATATATATTAGTATGTTATGTTTTGAAGTACATAGTGTGACTGGATGGACAAACAAATGGCGAAAAGAAAACATAAAAATCTGCAGCCAATCAAATAAACGTCAAGGCAAGGTGTCCTTAATTCTCTTATGAGATACGCTTGTTAAAAAAGTTACCAAAAAAAAAAAAAGTCCATGGTGTCAATCAGTTACAGAAGCGTTAACCATGTGAACTGCCTTTAAACTTGAAAATAAATAGGATGCTGGCTGTAGTTTCTGCGGGGCAGGAAAAGTCCGCGCTCAAACATCCTCAGATTTTCCTTCGTGTGTCTCTATTGTTTCCTTTGTACAGTCGCATAGTTGCAGAAGGGGAATCGACGTGTGGCCAAAGTGGTTATTTGGAATGGGGCAAGTTAGATGAGACAAACATCAGGGGATAAGTGGGGTAGCGTTAGGACAAAGCCCCCCCCACCCCCTGATTGGGGAGGTCAAGGGCGAGGAGGAGGAGCCACGGGCCGACGTGACATCAGATGTGATCCGTTGCTTTTTGTCAAAGGCTGGCAGCAGGTAAGCTGACGGGCTGCTGGCCTCGTCTTCACACGCTCATGGTCATGTTTGGAGAATACTGTGCAGAGGCATGAAAGACATTTTGTCAGATAACTTTATCTGATGTTGCTCTACATTGGGGGGGTCACCACCGTGGTGCTCGCTGGCACCACGTAGCCCCCAAGGACCCTGTGAGTAGCCTGCGGGCTAGCTCTCAAAATAGCTAACAAATAGCTAAAAAATAAATTAATGAATTAAAAAAAAACTGTCAAAAAAAAAGACTTATTTTTGACGGATTAAATTAATGTCTCGTAGCCACAATTTTTAACATACACACAAGCCTTTAGACATACAGTTTCAATGTCAAAAACATGGTAAAAAAACATCTCTGTTGAAGAAATTATTAATTGACATACAAAGTATATACTGTACCGGTATTATTAAATGGACAAAATTTTAGTAGGCTGAGTTCAGATAGTTTCTATGGATTACTTCTGTCAGAAAAAAACGACTGTGCTTGTGGCATTTTTGTGTTGCTTAACCCCTTTCATGCACCCTGTAACCTGAAAACATGATAAACCGTCCACTGTCATAACCGCTGTCCCCCGAAAGGGTTAATTTGACAGTATCATTGCCCTCCGCAGTTGACAAACTCACACTTTCACTCTGAAAAGGATTGAGGAAGTTTCCGGTCATCTCGCCATCCTCTCTGGGGGTTCCTGGCTGGTTACTCATACTCAGATTACCTGGCGAGTTCTGAGTAAACACAACGAGCCGGACAATAAAGAGCACTTGCATGAAGTAACCCTCGGGGTGTATAAAATGTTATCTTACCTTTGGGAGACTGTCCATATCGCCAGACCCTGAGTTAAAGTACGTGACATAAGTCATGAACATATTTCTCGACTAATTATTTGACAAATGAGATCCCTTTGTTCTTGTACCTAATGATCCATTCATGTGATGAGGCTCCATTCCAGCCATTCCCCCTAATGGGCCGTCACCTCCTGCACCCATAGGGAACTGAGGACATGTGCACAGCGGAAAGTGACGCTCAGGTCATAAAGATTACAAAGCGACAATAATAGTTTTTTACATTCTCGTGTTAAATTCAAGCCGGGTTCACACAGACGCCATAAAAATAACAAGAACTCACATTTGGTCGACTGCCACCTGGGGGACCTGTGCTGATCATAGTGTACATGTTGTCTCCGGAGTTGGTTGAATCTGTTGGGGGGGAAATTGCAAAGTGATGATAAAAGGAGGGAGCGACACAGACACATACTTGCATTATCTTACCTGCTGGACTTGGCATGATTGGGGTACCGGGTGGTCCCCCTCCTCCTGGAGGTCCCTGAAATTTGTTTAAAAAAGGGCTATGAGAACCATTTAAGTAGGCCTCAGAATTCGGGATGGACATTTGACTGAACAAGAATTCGGGAATTTCTGATTAGTTGATTTCCACGCATATCTTGCGCTCAGTAAAGCCAGATGTAAAGCAAATACAGATGTCTGGAATGAGATAGCGCTACTTTCCATAGTTGCCGATCTGCCAGCAAACAATTGTATAGCGTTGCCATGACGCAGGCCCGGAGTGGACCCTCTGGAGTGACTGGAAAATTCCCGGTGGGCCACGGGTTTGTTTCAAAATCAGCAAATAAAATGCATTTGGTCGACCTAGCTTAGGTTCAGAGTGACTAACCTGGGGCGGCATGAATTTTCACTCTTAGTCTGCCTGCCTTATGGACTGTTCAGGCCACTATTTCACATGGAATCGACCATAAAAGCATTCGAAAAAAACAAGGACGTGGGGTGATTTATGTTTTGTTTGACTCAAAACTTCAACTGGCAGTGGCGGTAAGCAGTTTGAAACCACTTTTTGAGGATTGGTCATTATAGGCCAAACTGGCGCTTGTTGTGAAATAAGTCCAGTTGTACTCCATGTGTATTTGTGTTTTCTAATGTTCCGGGACAAACAAACAAAACCTGCAGCGTACTTACACACCGTAAAAATCAAACCCTCCAGATTAACTGTACATACCACATAACTGCCTGGAGATGCAGACGAATAAGGAGTCTGGAAAGACATGCAACAACGGTGTAAACGATACAATGCAATACATGTTTATTTCTACAGCGCTTTCACAACAGCAGCAGCTGGAACAAAGTGCTTTGCAGAACATTTAACATAAAATCAGGTCATGTTCAACAAAAATTGAAGATGAGTGTAATTAGTGTAACACTCACAGAGTTTGAATTTGGAGGATTTGGCCAGGGTCTCCCACCTCCCGGCCCCCTGGAATGCACATACACACTTGAGTCTCAGCCATTGTTTCAGATGGATTGGACTGAGTTGGCAAAAACACGCTCATTTATAGCCAGAGAGCACACACACACACAAACAAAAGTGCATGTGCGAACACACACACACACACACACACACACACACACACACACAAAAACACTCCCATTGAAGAAAAACTGAATGACATTTAATTCAGTGGAAGAGGTGTTTTCCCCAAATGTGTTATTTGAAAAGCACTTATTGATTTTGTATTTAGTTTTCTTATTCAGTAATTGTACAATGAATTTATTGTAAATCATACAATACAGAAATAGATGCATTCAAGTAAACCTCTCTAGATGATTATTTTGCACTGATTCCCAATCTGCTTTCGTTTTTTTTTCTCTGACCAGGTTTTCCTAATAAGAATAGTAATAATAATAAGAAGAAGAAGAAGAAGAAGAAGAACAATAATAGCAATAAGATTATTTAATAACAGCAATATGTTACATGTTTTACGGTCATATATTTGATTTTATTTGAGGGTTAAGTTCAGCATGAGGTGGAATTTTTTTTTGAGGTGGAACACAGGAAAATCTGGACAGTGCAAGCTGTTATAGGTCAAACTTATCTCAAAAACCTGATGTGCCAGATAAAAAGCAAAAATATTTTAAAATAGTGTCCAAAATCCACAAAATCATTTCTGATTAAAATTTGCTGTTGACTAGTCTGATTCATAATGAGATCAATTGCAAAATACATCCAAAATGAGAATTCATCCTTATTTCGTGATTAAAACAGCTATTAGAAATATTTGACACAGTTATATTTTTTTAAACTTCAATACAAAACGGTGTCCACCCCATTTGTACAACTTACATGTTGATGCCCGGCATCCCAGGCCCAACTAGTGCATTCAGTGGCGGCCTCATCCCTCCTCCATAGCTCTACAAACACAAGACAACCGAAGCAGTGTTTAAGACTAAAAGAGAGTTGCCAACAAAGGGATCATACACACATACACACCTGCGGCCCGAGTGGCACCATGCCCCTAGGTGGCGTCATCCGCTGCATTGGCCCCCCCATATTCGGGTGACCTAGAACACAGGAAAAAGTCATAACGTGTAAGTGTCCATCCATGCATGCATTTATCTACCTGGACCCACCTTGCTGTCTTGTGGGGTCCATGCCACTGGGCAACATTGGCTGACTTCCTGGCACACCACCAAGCCCCTGCAGACAAGAGCCAATTCATCACTCGGATCACTTCCACAAACGCTGATGACCTTTTCCACTTCGCCGGTGCTTTTTTTTTTAGCCTGCCGGCAGGGGTCGCTGTGATGCTTACCTGATTCGGTAATCTGAGGGGTGGTCTGGGTCCTCCCGGGTAACGAGGGGACATAAAAGGCTGTAACAAGGAGATGTGAATCGACATTGAAACCAAAACAATGGCAACATTAGAGTGTCATGTCATTTGCCGCAGTGTGTCTTGAGATATTTATTTCTTTGCCTTGAATGAGGAAATGACCTGTGTAATGTGTATGACATGAATCAACCGTCTTCGTCCATATGAAAAGTATTGCAATCAGTAACACAATTAAATCAAGAACACAATTGAAGAAAGCAAAATGCTATATGAAAGACGAGTCACTATTTTAACCATTGTAAAATGATTGACAGTTGGTTGTTAGCAAATAAAATACAGACAGATCTGAACAACTATATTTGCGAATGTACGAGGAAGCCAGCATACCCGGTGAAACTCCAAACTGAGACTCAAAGCCCGACCAAACCTCAGGACGTTGAGACAGACGTGCTAACCGGTAGGTCGCTATGTTGCACAGTGAATTATTTCTAGTTCATTTATTTCATTTAGTAAAGGTAACCACTAGAACAGGAATGCCACTCACACCATAATGCAGTGTAGCTCGACACGAGAAGTAGTTTTAGACCACGCCACAAGAGGGCCACAGAGCTCCTATGTTTGTGGTCTGGAACTCCTGTCACTGTCAGTGCACTGCTCCATTTACCTGACTTCAGTCCAGCCAGCGTGGGTTTAGTTCCCACTCAGCGATGGTGTGAATGTTAGTGTGAATGGTTGTATGTTTCTTTACGTCCCCTGTGACTGGCTAATAATTTGCTCAGGTATAGTCCGTCTTTTGCCAAGCATTGGCTAGGATACAAACCTGCCAAGTACACAGTATAGCAATTGGATGGATTGGTGTATTTTTATCTCTGTCATTTTTTATTATGCTATGAACAAATAGATGGTAAGTCTAAAGACATTAATAATAAGTGAAGGAAAAAAATGCATCAATAGTACATCTTAAAGTATACATACTAGATGGAAACGACGCCCTACAGGGTTCAACCCCTTTGTGATCAACTGCATAAGAAAATATTCAAACAGCTAAAGTACAATGTTCCTCAACGTACAAATCAAGCAATTTAAGGATTTCATTATCTACGGTCCGTAATATCAGAATCTGGAGTTAACACTACATGTAAGCGGCAAGACCGAAAACCAACTTTAAATGCCCTTGACCTTCGATCCTTCAGGCAACACCGCATCGAAAACCGACATCGATGTGCAAAGGATATCACCACAAGGGCTCCGGAACACTTGGGAAAACCAATGTGAGTAAATACATCCGCAAGTGCAACTTAAAATTCTACCATGCAAAGCAAAAGCCATTTATCAACGTCTCCCAGAAACGCCGCCGGCTTCTCCGCGCCCGAGCTCATCTAAGATGGACTGATGCAAAGTAGAAAACTGTTCTGTGGTCTGATGAGTCCACACTACAAATTGTTTTGGGAAATTGTGGATGTTGTGTCCTCCGGGCCAAAGAGGGAAAAGAACCATCTGGACTGTTCTGGACGCAAAGTTCAAAAGCCAGCATCTGTGATGATATCGTGCTGTTTTAGTGCCAGTGGCACGGGTAACTTACACACTGTGAAGGCGCTATTAATGCTGAAAAGTATATACAGGTTTTGGAGAAACATATGCTGCCATCCAAGCAACGCTTTTTTCATGGATGGACTATCTTAGCAAGACAATGCCAAACCACATTCTGCCTAAAGTCTGGACCTAGCTTAAAATTATGACAACCGACTGTTGAACATCGGAAGCTGTACATCAAGCGAGACTGGGAAACAATTGCACCTACGGAGCTTCAACGATTACTGTCCTCGGTTCCCTCAGTTATTGTTCAAAGAAAAGGCGATGGAACACAGCAGTGAACGTGAGCCTGTCCCAGCTTTTGGGAACATGTTGCAGCCATAAAGTTCAAAGTTTATGATTATTTGCTAAAACCAATTAAGTTCATCAGTTTGAGCATTAAATCTTTTGTGTTTGCAGTGCATCGAATTAAATAGAGGTTGAACACGATTTGCGAATCATTTCTGTTTTGATTCGTGTTGAACACAACATCCCAACTTCATTGGAAATAAGTTTGAAATTTAGTCAACAAGCAAAACGAACAAACAAATCAGGATGTGAATCAGGTTTTTCTTTGTTTGTTTGTTTCTACTACTGACAGAAAGCATTTCACCTGATCTCCTAAAGGAGTTGTTAACCTCAACAACGACTTTTTGAAAGCTGCGACTCGAGAAAGGCCCGTTACAGTTATTGAGCTGCATGTCAGATGCGAGCATCTGAGATGGACTGATGAAGACAACTAATCAATGATCACCTGGCACAGTCGCCGTCACGTACTCACTGGATAATGTTTGTCATGCACTCACCTGAAAAAATCCTGGTGGGACCGGACCCACGGACATGCCATCTCCTGGGGGGAGGTTCCCGAGTACGGGACTGGGGGCTGCTGCTGCACTCTGAAAGAAGAGAGGAAATAGCGAGGTACCTCATTTATAGAGTGCGAGCAACTTGGATTGGATTGGCCACAATGCGGAGTGGCATTCTGGTTTTGGGCAGCGATTTTAAACTTCACTTCAATCTTTCTGGCGTTTTAGGAGTGAAAACAGCTGTGGGCAGCCACCAGCTTTCTCCCGCTGTACTGAACAGTTTAACAGATTGATAAATAAGTGACTGTAAAATGAATGTCAGTGTACATGAGTGTGTGCGTGTTCATTTTTCATCTTTTGGACCATGACGTTTTGTTTTTTCTTCTGGGAGGTGACAGAATGACGATAGACGGACTGGCAAATGTGAAATTTACCGAAGGAAGCAATGACGGAAGCACGGTTAAAATAACACGATGGACTGACCGAGTGATGATTTCAGTTGGTTGAGCTTGAAAAAATGACGGGCTGACGATGAACAAGTTCATTTTTAAATCCATGCGTGTTTTTTTGTTGATGTTGTTTTCCCCAAATGGGCGTCACTGCCAGATTGGAGCCCCGCCCATGTCGGCATCCTCTACCAATGCCCTCCTACCATCTCATCCTGATATGTTACTACCATGAACCTTATGACAAGAAATGTGAACAGCTGCATCTCTGATAATGACATGGGAACATGGTGTCTGGTGTTCTTTTTTTTTTTGTCAGCAAATGTCTGCCCACTCCCTCTTTTGTTCTTCTCATCGCTCCTCTTGCTTTCCCTCCTCGCCGAAGGCAATGGACGGAGGTGGAACTCACCCCGATTCTCTGAAGTTTCCGCCTGCTGACTTTGTAGGTCACAGAGGAACAAGGTTTAATCAGGGCTGAGATAAAAGCAGACTGACGACACGCTCAGAATCTCCTCGGCTCCACCCACCACCCGAGCTCGCTATTCCCTCATCTTTCCACATTTTACTTGATATCTCCTCACACTGTTCACACTTTCTATCTGCTGATGCAAACCGAGCTTTGGGAGGAAAAAGTTGATGCGGATACAGACGTTGTGTAACACAGAACGACATCAAGAGAGGAGCTTTTGTGAGTTTTCACCCATTTCATTCTCATTTTCTTGCACCCCGGATTACCCAGAATGCATCTGCACCTTGGCAGCCTGGAGGTTTGCTGAGTTTGCCTTCATGCTCAGAGAGAGGGAGACAGAGAGAAAGAGAGAGAGAGAGAGAGAGAGAGAGAGAGAGAGAGAGAGAGAGAGCATGTGGGTGAGTGACACAGAGAGCGAGCAAAATGAGGACAAATCAGAGAGATATGTGAGTGTGCAGGCCCGTTGGTGCGCACTTTTTGTTTGTTAGTGTATCCGTATATGTGTGTGTTGGTTGCTGAAGGAGAAGAATATCTACCTGACCTGCTGACAACGAATTTTGCCTCTTGAAATGGATGAACAGAGAGAAAAGAAGAACAACAAAAGCCAAGATGTCTGCCTGCCCCAGAGACCAGCAGCAACCTTCATCATCAAACAAGACTTTATCCAATACAGTGGGACTCCAAAAGTTGTACCATTTAGAATGTAACCAAACATTCTTGGCGGGGAGCGGGGAGGGGGGAGGGGGGGCAACAACATTTAGAATCATTATCAAGTTATCATCTCTAAGACTTGAACTCACTCACGACATGATTAAAAGCATTTTTCGTTACCGACACCGCTTTAAAATAAAAGTAAAATTTGAAAAAAACAATACGTACTGTCCTCTCATCTCAAAAGTAGTTATTCATCAATAATTTGCATAAATGTACAAAGTCATATGAGGCGACTTTATATTTACCGTATTGTCCACACAATAAGGCGCACCTAAAAGCATTTAATTTTCTTAAAATCCAACGGTGCGCCTTATGATCTGGTGTGCCTTATATATGGATCAATACTCTGATTTCTTGGATGTAGTACTTTAAATGTTCTGTAAAGTGCTGCAGTGGCTTTGAAAGCTCTATATTGTATTGTATTCTCTTTAGCATAGCTCCATCTAGTGGAGGAATAACGCAACTGCAGCCACTATTGTAGCTTCTATTCTATGCACCTTATAATGCAGTGCACCCTTTCTATGAAAACAGTTTTAAAATAGACCATTCACGGAAGGTGCGTCTTAAACTCCGAAGCCGCTTCGAGTGCGGAAAATACGGTATTTGGGGTTAACAGTCATAAAGGCCTTCCAAAGGAAACCACAATCTTCGGTTTCTATATTGTATTATTACAGTTCTAATCGGAAGAGAATAATAATTGTCCATTTTAAGCACTTGTCAGATCGTAACATGTAGTAAACTGGAGAGTCACTTTTTATTTCTGTTTGTGAGTCATAGCAATTGCTCCTATCATACTAAAAGCCTAATCGTTTTAGTAACATTCACACCAGTAAGAAGATACTAATGGCGCCTAAAGAGGATTACAATGAGATATTGTATCATATTGTGTGTGTAAATGTGGTCATCACCAATGGCTTGTGCAGCAAAGGTTAAAAACATTTATTTTTGTAAAACCGCTTCCCTGCCGCAATGTTACTCAGGCTCATTTTCCTTCAAAAAGTCTCCTCAAGTGATCACATTATACCTTTCTTTATTGGCCATTAAAAGGTAACTTTTGGTGCGCAGCCATAAAAAAAAAGCAGGGCTAAGGTAACTTTTTTTGTTTAACTTAATCAACTCCTCCAAATTATTTGCCAACCTAATTCAAAACAGCCTAAGGGAAACTTAGCTCATTTGCAATCAGTTAGTACAAAGCGTAGCTGCAGCCTACAAGAGGCGCTCAAGACAGTCTACACTACCATGCAGATAACGGTTCGGACGGCAAATTATTGTTGTACTTGTTCCAGGACCAAAAGGAACAGATAAAAGCGCAAAAAGTCAAGTACAAAAGCGGTATTTTTGAGGGTACCCATCTAATGTACCCCAACTACGATTGTATACTTTTTTCAGAGATTGGCCAATTCGTCCTCCGTCCGCGACCTGAGTACCCTTCCGTCATCGTCCCTCCGTCCTTATTCATATAATAATCGTCCTCCGATGGATCCGGGACAATGGACCGTTCTGTCTCAGGGACGGAATACCCATCTCTGACTTTTTCCCGCTGTCAGTACATGTCTTTATATTCCACTGAAATATGCCCATTCTAGTTTTATGGGATTGAGTTATTGTTGTTTTGCAGCCCTGTAGAATGATTGTAGAGGAGAAAGCCGTCTCTTGATTAGAATTGCATTTTGTGGCACAAACAATCTTGCGGACATGTAGAAACAAACTTGGCGGTAGATTGAATCCGCTTGAAGTCAAGCTGATCCCGTGCTTCCCCGTGGAGAATGCAAACATTTGTTAGGGGGAACGGGAGCGCAATTACACAATACAGCACTACAGGATAATCAGACAGTACACTACATTCACACGACACTAATGCAATCACTGCTATGTCCCAGTAATACTTAATGAGAATATGCATGTGTTACATGTTTGGTGTGTGTGTGTGTGTGTGTGTGTGTGTGTGTGTGTGTGTGTGTGTGTGTGTGCGTGTGTGTGTGTGTGTGTGCGTGCGTGCGTGCGTGTGTGCACGCACGCACAATGTGTGTGTGTGTGTGTGTGTGTGTGTGTGTGTGTGTGTGTGTGTGTGTGTGTGTGTGTGTGTGTTAGAGAAAATGCAGAATCATTTCCATTCTGCTTTAGAGACTGAGCAACACGATGAGAGACACTGCGTGAGTGGAATGTCAAACATTTTTTTCTCTCTCATTCTCTGTCTCCATTTTGCCTTTTTTTTTCCCTTTTTTTTCCTCCTCCCCAAAAAGTGGTGAGATCTTCCTCCCAATCTTTTCTTTTTGTCAAACCTTAGGACAGCATTGTTCAATGAAAAAAATTAACGCGTGCATGATATTGTTGTCACTGACTTATGTCACTTTGAAATGTTTTCATCGCCATCGTAGGTTACATGAAGCTGAAATGGAAGCGTTGTATTACCCCCTTGAGTCCAATCATACACAGTACACACACGGTCGTGGCCAGAGATAAAACGATTTATATCACCATTACAAGTGATTGCAAATTATCACATTATCAGGATCATCACCACATTCCATGTTTTATTTCTATTATGAAATATATAACATCAGCAGAAATTTGAAAAAACAGCATCCTCAATACTTTTTCATTATACGAAGCCCAAAAAAAAAAAACTTGAAGACAACCATATATATATATTTCACAGAAAATGTGCCTTTTTGTACAGTTTGAAGTGGTTCGAACTTGTTACTCTTTTCATGGCCCATATTTAGCTGCCTGTATCACAAAAGTGTTAAGAAATGTATACATGTGTCTCATTTCTAAAAAAAGATAATACCACTACTACTACTAATAATAACAATAATAATAATAATTGTTTATTGTATATTGCAAACCATAAGGAGGAGTAATTAAAGTTTTAATTTGATTTGTTTACCTGCTTGATAAGACTTACATGTGGTGGAAAGTAATGACAAGACAGATTAGTGAATGCGCATGAATCTTGTCACAATAAACATGCTAATCGGCTCAGTTCATTAAGAATCCAAATAAAATGCCATCGGAATAAAGGCGGTTAATTGCTGGTGACCCTATTAAGCCGCATGCACACTGAGGTGCTACATTAACGTCAGTTCTTTGAGCGGCAAAAGCATTTCGCAGTTTGCCTTGTCCATCAAGAAACGATGGACAGGCTGTATAGAAAAAGTCAGCATGCAAACAGTACATTTGTTGTCGCCGAGACATAAATTGATGATCGGCACTTGGATGTGATCTGACATGCTGCCAGTCTATGTTATTTTTAATTGCACCACAATATGTTGTAATGTACAATAATGTGCAGATTGGAGAAATAGTTTGTGCTTTTTATTAGCATTTTAATTGTTAAAGGCCATCAACTTCTATGACGCAATGTCAAAATAAAGTTCGATTAGCCTTGTAATGTTCCCAAAGTTATTCATTCCCAACATTACGGCCTGCATGCTAGCATGTTTTACTTGACGTTTACT